ATTCAGGGTAACATAGCCAAAAGCTACTCTCTCATCAAGTCTGCTATTTAGATAGTGAAGGAAAGAGAGCTGAGCAATTACTTTGATTGGCTTCCCAAATTATGGGATGTATATTCTTACACATCTTCAAGAAACAGATAACCATTTGACTCTGGTTGATTTCAACATCACTTGACCTGAGAGACTTTGATTTTTTTTCTAAGATTGTAGTTACCCACCAAACACCCCCCGCCCCCATATTCCTTAGGCTGGTCGGAAACTCCTGAACTCAAGCAATCCTCTTACCTCAGCCTTCCTACTAGCTGGGACTATGGGCTCTACCACACTTCGGCTAATTTGTCTGTTTTTAGCAGAGACTTGTCTCCCTCTTGCTCAGGCTGGTCTGAAGTCCTGAGCTCAAGCGAAAGCTTCCCAGAATGCTAGGTTTGCAGGCATGAGTAACCCTGCTGGACACCGATAGATTTTTAAGATTCCTTTTCAGCACTACGGTTTTATAACTCTAATCTCTAAGGAAAATGTTCTTTGATACCTCGAGTTCACTTCTGGTTTGATATGATAGCAGACTGCAAAGTGATAGCTGATACACAGCCTAAGTGCACGTCACAGTGATTTTTCAAAACCCCAAAGTTAACATAGCTCTTGGTATTGACATCGATTTTAATTCATATAACCTTCTATTCAATTTTAGGTCATCTTTAGGTGGTGGAAGATTTCTCTAAGGAGTGAGCATCGATCAGCACAACCTGGAGAAGTAAAAGAAACCCATGAAGACTTCCTAGAGAACTCACATCTTCAAGGTAAGGAAGGAAAGAGTTTATATACTTAATATTATTCAGTTCTCTTTAATCAGTGATAGGTTTTGTCAGAGGAGTTTCAAATATATCATCACCTGAAATATTGATATATAATTATGTACTTAGATATAGAATATTAGATTTTTTTTTTTTTTGATTCAGAGTCTCACTTTGTTGCCCTCCATAGAGTGCTATGGCATCATAGCTCACAGCAACCTCAAATTCTTGGGCTTAAGTGATTCTCTTGCCTCAGTCTCCCAAGTAGCTGGGACTATAGGCGCCCCCACTACGCTGGCTATTTTGTTGTTGTTGTTGTTGTAGTTGTCATTGTTGTTCAGCAGGCCCTGGGCGGGTTTGAACCCACCAGCTTGGGTATATTTGGCCAGTGCCCTAATCACTGAGCTATGGGCACCAAGCCCTAAATTTTCTTAAAAAATAAAAAAAGCTCGAGTGTTGAAGAGTCCAGGTTAACACATGTATTCCATTAATGAAGTCAAGGAAATATATTTTTTTCATAAATTGAGCAGTGCCAAAATGTTGGGTTTTAAGGCAGCTGCCTATCTCCTAAAATGTTAGGGTTCTAGGTAGGTACCTGGGTCCTCAGTTTTTGGAATGCTCTTGGTCAAAAAATGACCAGACACCCTAAAGTAAGGCAAGCATCAAACAAACTTTATTGAGGAAGAGAAAGATGGGTTTACAGAGTAAGAAAGTTTACAAAGTGGAATACCTTCACCACAGACAACAAATGGGCCTCCTCTGTCAGGGCAAGTAGGCAGAGGCCGGAGTTATGACTAGTGGTTCTTTTATACTGCCTGGGTCTGGCCTACATACTAGTTCAGAGGTCACCTTGGAACCAGAGTCTTACTGGGCATATGTACCTCCCATGATCCTGAGAACCCACGGGGGGGGGGGGGAGGGGGAGGCACATGATAATTAGTCTTAAGGCTGTTCTAGGTCACTTTTGAGAATCTGTTATACCTGTTGTTAGGCCAATGGGCTAGAGAGTCTTCTGCAGTTGGCACACTAAGTTCTGATTGGTCCCCAGGTGTGACCAATTACTAGGTGATTAAGGTGGGAGGCACAAAAATGGCGGCCTGGGGCTCCTCCCTGGTCCTCCTTCCTCAGGAGATCCATTCCTAATTAACTGCTATGCTCCACTGAGGGGCACTGGAGGGGGAAAGGGGTTGGGCAGTGTACCCAGAAATGAGACAGTAGTTTCCAGCCCAGTTTTATGAAAGGGGACAGAGACCTGTCTGGGCAAGATGGCAGCTGCACTAAGAGTGCCTGGGGGCTCTTTTTTGTTGTTGTTGTTGTTGCAGTTTTTGGCTAGGGCAGGGTTTGAACCTGCCACCTCCAGTATATGGGGCTGGCGCCCTACTCCTTGAGCCACAGCAAGATCCCAGGGCTCATTTTTATATGGGGAGGAAGATTCTACAGATTACTGGGAGGTTTCAGTGGGCTAAGGTCTTTCTGGTGGAACTCTTGGGGCGGGGCTGGGTAGGCCTTTTGTTCTGGGAGGGGAAAATGGGGGGAATAGGCCCCTAACTGAGGGTACATTTTTATAAGGTATTTTCAGAAGCAAGACAAAGAAAATTATTTGGTTAAAATAGAAAGTGCCTACTTAGAGGTTAGTTGGGAGCTTCTGACTGGTAAAGTCTCCAGTTAGAAGTCAGTTGGAAGTTTCTGATTGGATAAACCTAAATTTCATTTTCCTAGGCTACAACTATCTAATCCAGAAGTTCTCAACCTGTGGGTTGCGACCCCGTTGTAACAATGAAAATATATCACAGCATTAGGAGAGTCGAGAACCACCAACTCTTTGCTGAGTTTGGGTTTGCTTACATAAGAAGTCAAGCAGGCCATGTGCAGTGGCTCATGCCTGTAATCCTAGCATTCTGGGAGGCCAAGGCAGGTGTATCGCTTGAATTCAGGAGTTTAAGAGCAGCCTGAACAATAGGGAGACCAGTCTCTACTAAAAATAGAAAAATTGGCTCGCCACCTGTGGCTCAAGTGGTTAAGTTGCCAGCCACATAACACCTGAGCTGTCCGGTTCAAATCCAGCCTAGGCCGCCAAACAATGACGTCTGCAACCAAAAAATAGACGGGCGTTGTAGCGGGCACCTGTAGTCCCAGCTACTTGGGAGGCTGAGGCAAGAGAATCACTTGAGCCCAGGAGTTGGAGGTTGCTGTGAGCTGTGATGCCACGACACTCTACCCAGGGTGACAGCTTGAGGCTCTGTCTCAAAAAATAAAATAAAATAAAAATAAATAAATAAAAATAGAAAAATTGAGGCAAGATGATCACTTGAGCCCAAGAGACTGAGGTTGCTGTAAGCTATGACACTTCAGATCTCTACCCAGGGCAACCAAGTGAGACTGTCACACACACAGAAAAATTAAGGCACTGAGGAATTCTCAGTCCAATGGCTTACCAATTAGTTATTTTAATTAATACTTCTCAATATGAACATTTTAAACATAAAAAGTAGTATGGTTTTTGATGAATTCCCATGTAGTTGAAGGAAATTAGAAATATTTTACCTCAAAATATATTCTTCTACATATTTTGGGAAGGCTGCCGTGGGTCTCACGGATATAGTTAATGCTGCAAAGCTGTCCTTTGTTTATATGTGGAGGGGCGATTTGCATCTGTAGAGAAGGCAGCCAGGTCTTTCCTATCCCAATCTAGAAAAGATTAACTTAAGAGTCAGAGACTTTTAAAGGTTTGAAAAGAAACATTTACAATCTATTCTTTCTGTGGTCTGCTACCTGTGAGGTTCATTAACATAAAAAGCCCGCCTTTGCTAGCTGCCTAAGCTTCTTCCTCCCCCAAAGTGTTCTGCTGCTCCCAAGCCCCTGTTCTTTCAAAACTTCTGTACCTCACTGAAGAGTTAAATCTTCATTCTGAGGGTTCTGCGTTTACGTTATATAAATTTGTATCTTTTTTCCTACTATCAATCAGTTTACCCCATGTCAGTGATTTTTTTCAACAAACCTTTGGGAGGCAGGAGCCTTTGCTGGTAATTCATAACTCAGCTTCAACAATACTCAGAACGTGGCCAGACCTGTACGTGAACTCACTGTTTCCACTGGCAAATCCCAGTTGTTACATCATTTCATCTTAAACCACTTTAGTATGTGTCTCTAAGGGACTGTCTACAACTAAGCCCTTTAATAATTATTCCTTAATAATAACAATTTTAAAGTGGAGTTACCTTAGAGATTCTCACCAGTCATAGTTACTAATGTTATTTAATGTCAAGTACTTCACATGCATGTTCTTATTTTATTGTTACAGTATCCTTGTGAATTAAATATTATCCCTATTTTACAAGTATGATTCAGAACGGATGTGACCTTTTAGGGTTTTACAGCTAAGTATTGACATTGCCAAGACTAAGCATTGAAAGTTAAAACT